TATCGGGGGAAAATATCGGGGGAATATATCGGGGGAATATATCGGGGAAATATATCGGGGGAATTGCGGTGAATTGCGGCCGGGCCCGGCACACGCTGCTCCCCCCCCGCTCTGGAGGCGGCCCCGGCGGCGCCCGGAGCTCGGGGGGATGCGCTGGGCTGGGGGAGCAGCAGCAGCAGCAGAGCCCTGCCACATCAAATCGTCATCTACGGACAGATGGACAGAGCTGGGGTTACGACAGAAGGACGTGGAAGTGCTGGTGAAAGTGCAGAGAAAGGCACCGGGATCTGCCAGGGCTGGAGCCAGGCTGGGAGAGCTGGGGGTGCTCACCTGGAGAAGAGAAGGCTCCAGGGAGAGCTCAGAGCCCCTTGCAGGGCCTAAAGGGGCTCCAGGAGAGCTGGAGAGGGACTGGGGACAAGGCCTGGAGGGACAGGACACAGGGAATGGCTCCCACTGCCAGAGGGCAGGGCTGGATGGGATATTGGGAAGGAATTGTTGGCTGGGAGGGTGGGCAGGCCCTGGCACAGGGTGCCCAGAGCAGCTGTGGCTGCCCCTGGATCCCTGGCAGTGCCCAAAGCCAGGCTGGACGAGGCTTCATTCCCCACGTCCTGTCCTGTTTTATTTTGTCAATGAAACCCAGCACAGGCTCTAGGTCGCTCTCATATTTTTTGAATGCAGGTGCTGCCAAGGAAAGCAGCATTTTTTGTAAAGCTTTACGAAATATCTCTGTTTGTGGGGGTTTTATGGGTTTTTCCCCTACAGTTAAACCCAGCAGAATCATCACCACTTGCTCTGAAAAATCCTGTTGGGAATTTCACCGTTTCCAGGATCACCTTCCTGACATGCAATAAAAAAAGCTTTTATGATGTATTTTTTCTGCAACGTTTTCTGAAAAGTATGTCCCAGCCTCAGCCAAGGAAGTGTGTGGAATTTGTACCCATGGAGACTCCAATAACACAGCCTGCTCCAAACACCACAGGATTATTACTTTTCTTACCTAACGCTTCGGGAAAGGAGTCACTGGAAAAGGAAGTGACTGAGCGAGGCAATATAAATTGGAGACACTGGTTAGCATGTGATCCATCTGCAGATTTGGGGTGGCTGTTCCTGCTTTTGGGAGATTACCATGAGAATTACACTGGAAAAATTCATGGAGTTGTTTGTCCGACCACCACGGACACACTGAGGGAGATTTTGAGAAGCTCCTGAGAAAATTAATTTTTATTCTTGATGGGTTGTAGGTGCTTAAGCAATGGATTTTTAAAAAGAACAACTTTTAGGTGAGCAAAATATACAGGAAAAGAGAAAATAGAGGTGGAATAGTTTTTTAAAAATCAACTAGTACACATAAACATCCACCTTTACTCCTGGAAACTGAGACAAGATAATAGATTTCACTTAAAAACTCCTGATGTTTTTGAAGGTTGTTCTCATTCTTTCCGTCAATTCTTGTTTTACAAATGAAGCAATCCTGTTTTTCCCGCTGGAAAAGCCCAGACCTTTCCTAAAAAACACTCAATAAACAACTACTTTTTAGTCCTGTGATCACTTATTCCTGCTCGAGCACCATGTGGGTTTGGCCACACTGAATTGCACCATGCTGATTTTGAATTATTACTCAAATTTACCTGGAGCTGAATGAAATTCCTCAGTCCTCTCCCTTTTACCATCACCTCCAATGTGTCGTTACTTTGTATTTTAGGGCACAATTCCCCACTGAACAGCATCCATTCCTCTGGAAAAGAAATACAAAACACATTTGGATGTGCTCCCGTTCTTCCCAAAGTGCCAATTACTGTGTGAAACCCAAAGCTCAGGTGACAACAACATCCTGAGATCCCCAGAATCACAGATCCATTAAGGCTGGAAAAAAACCCCTGAGATCATCAAACCCAACCACCAACCCAGCTCTGCCCAGGCCACCATCAACCCTGTCCCCCCAAGTGCCACAGCCTCCTCTTTCTGCACTCTTGATAATGCTTGGAATTTCTGATAATGCTCAGCACAACACCTTTGGGAAACCCTGCAGCCCACGGGAATCAGGGAATCACCACAGCTCGGTTATTTTTAATTAGGGACCTGTCTGCCACCTCTGGTGCCAAACTGATCACTGGCATTTAATTTCTCTTTGTTTCTTCCAGCCTGTCCATGAGCCAGACCTCGCTGCTTGGTCTGGGGGAAGGAGGTTCGTTTCAAAAAGTTGTTGGTGAGGAAAGAGAAGTTTGATTTTTCTCTTTTCTCCCAGAGGAGCAGCTCGCTGCAGCTGTCTCTGCTACCCACAGGAGGGCACGTTCCTCAAAGCAAACTGGAATTCAGCTCAAACCCAGTCCCGCCCAAAGGATCTCATTGATCGACTTGATTTCACTTAAAGGGAGGTTTTGACAGGAAAAATGTTCTGATGAAAGCAAATTCCTTCTAAAGGTAGCAGGATCCTTTGAATTATTGTGTTTATCCATGAAAAATGCTGTTGTTTTGGGTGCTGGAAGTGAAACCTGAAATGAATTTATTCCTTTAAATTGCTTCCTGCATGAAAAAATTCCCAGAGGGTTGAAATTGAAAGAAACAAAAAAATTCCCTTTGGAATTTTTGCTCAAAGGAAAAGTTTGCTTGTTTTAAAAGGGAGAATCCTCATTCCTAAACAGGTGCCAAACAGCATTTTCCTGCCTGGGAGATTCCTGTGCCCCCATCCTTGGAGATGTTTTCCAACCCTAATGATTCTGGGATTCTCTCCATGCTGTGTTTCAGTGCTGAATGAGCTCAGTGCAAAACATCTGGAGCCTGAACTGGTCCCTGTCCTGCAGGATCAGCAGCACCATCCCATGCAGGTTATGAGGATCGTCTCATCTGTGACCGTGGATTTTTCCCTTTATAGCAGAGATAAAATTAAACTTTGTGATCATTTCATTCACAATCATTTTCATTTGTGCTGCACATAAACAGTTTTGCAGGCAGGGAGTCACTCAAGGCCTGCACTTAGGAATTAAATCTCCATTTAATTTCCATTCCAGCTATTTCCAAGGAAATTTCAGCAGGATGGGTGCAAACTGCAGCTTTTCCTTCATGGAGCTGCCACATCCCTTGGGCACAGCCCTGGGTGAGCTCCAACCACAGCCCCAGGGCTGTGTTTTCTGCATCACAAACTCCTGACCTTGCTGCTGGTCAGACAACAACATTCTCCAGTGCTTTTGGCTGGGCTTGAGAGGAGAAATCTGTGGAGTGTGGCTGTGCCAAGGCCGCTGGAATTTCCCAGTGGCACCGTACCCCGTCCTGCTCTGCCCACAATGAATTCCAGGCTGTTGTGGGATGCTCTGTCCTCTCCTGGCAGTGGCCCAGAGCATTTTTTATCTCAGCTTTGCCCAGCCTGGAAGCAAACAGGTGAGTGCTGAGGGTGGGAGAAAGAAGAGAGGATGTTCAGCCCTTCCCATGCCTCCTTTGGGTTGTGTCCCAACAATCCCAACTTGGTGGGATTTGGAAAGGTCACTCTTCTCAACCTCACATCTTTCCCCTAACAAGTTTTTAACACAGCTAAAACTCCACATGTGCTCTTTTTCCCCACCCTGGAAATTTCCTTTTATGAAATTTAAAGGACCAAGCATTTATCTGCAGTTTTATCTGTTTGGTTTGGCTGTAGCTGCCTGGAAATTCCACAAAAAACACTGGATAAAGTCATGGAAAAAAACCAGTGCCTGTGGGTTTTGGTGTGCCACTCCCTGCAGGGAGCTGCAGCCTCCTGAGCCCACAGAAGGAGGATGTGTCCATAATGTGGATGTAATTAAGTGCAGTCATATTGATATGACTGAATCCATGCAGCTTCTGTCAACACAGCTTCTGCACAGAGGCAATGTCTGTGTGATGAAACCCTCAGTGACTGAACAGCCCCTGTGCAGGGTTTAAATGGAATTTCTGCACAGAGGTTTTCTGGTGAGTGAGTTTGAATGAGGCTCCTCTCATTTCCCAGATATCCACAGGTGCTGAAACAGAGTGAGCAGGAGCCTTGGGGGGAGTGGGGGACAGGATCAAAGTGAAGGCCTGGGTGATGTGGTGGGAAGGGGACACAAAATCAACAGAACACACAGAGATGGCACCTTCAGCACCTGCATGGCAGCAAAGAGTCTCTGAGGCACCTGGAGAGAACCTTCTCTGCTGCTCCAGACCCCTCCCCAGCTCCATCCCCTTCCCTGGACACGCTCCAGGCCCTCGGTGTCCTTCTCATCATGGGGGGCCCAAAACAGCCCAGGCTTTGAGGTGTGACCCCAGCAGTGCCCAGC